TACAAACCTTTAATTAGGCTTGCACAAATAAATGACCTTTAAAATGAAACTGGTAAAAACAACACAAAAAAATACCCTAGACTTTCATTAAGTACATGCTTCAGTTTCCTCACAGCAAAGCTTGTTACTGCTCTCTAGTGGACATATTCAGTATCACTTGACAATATGGAACAGCTTTTCGCAGCATCTCAGTGACCTGGTATGATGCCAAACTTCATTCTACAGCAGTCTACAGTATCTGAGTATTTTAACCTGAACTTAAATATGATCACAATAGCAGTGCTTTATACTTACAATATTATTATACATGGAAAACCTCCGTGGTCTGCTAGAAAAGTATGTGGTCAGAATTGATTATAATATAGCCCAACAGGCTACTCACCTAACATCATAGTGTTTTTTATTTATTTATTTTTTTTATTCCCATGTATACAACTTTTGACTAGAGGTCTACTTACTGGCTTTCTCCAGAACATTGTGAACATATTAGACTTTGTAATCGGATATTTTAAAGTCTGTAGTTTTTCCACATTTGCTTAAAAATGCGTTTACAGTAGTTATATATACTGGCAGTCCTGCATCAGTTGCCATATGTAGTAGTTGTTATCGCAGGTTTTTGTTCTTTTCAGTGCTGTTTCAAAATTAACACACCGTACACCTGTAGGTACGGTAGCCCGGAGGGGAAAACCACGACGACACAAAAACACGGCGAACGCGTTAAAAATAACGGAGCGACGTGCTGTCCCACTAACTTTTCATAATCACGATGGAGCTGTCATATCAGTCTATGAAAATCGCTCATCAAGCCCGGGAAGCGGTGAGTAAATAAGGGGTTTTGTCTTTTTGGTGACTGTCGGACAACTGTTGCTAAAGTTATTAACTTTTAGCTTAAAATGTACTTGGAAGAGGGGCATACACTGTACCTCTAACGTTACATAGGACTAAATTAACCGCATCATAACAGTATAACGTTGGCCTAGGCCGGTTTATTTTACACATTTGTTGTGCAGCAAATAGCGGCAAAATACTAAACATCAAGTGGTTAAATGTTTAGCTAAACAGGCTAATTTAGCATCCCGACGTGCAAGGCGTCCACTTGTTGCCTGGGTACCCAGTTGTCATTTGTGGCAGTTTGTCGCCCTCTACTGGCAACATCATGGTAGTATTGTTCCCCCTACTATCAAAAAATTGATTATATCATACATTTATTTAACCAATGCAATTCACGAACATTTCCATGGATTGATTATTTGTTTCTATAAAACATTAGAAAATAGTGATAAATGACTGGTATAATTTCCCACACTCCAAGGTGACATCTTCAAATGTAATTTGTCTCACCAACAGTACAAAGCCCAATATTTCACTTTACTATTTAAATTGTTCTCACATTTGGAAAAACATGAAACCGCAAATATTTGTCATATTCACTCAGAAAAATAATGATCAAAGTAGATGCTGATTTAATATACTGTTAATTGATTTAACAATTAATTGATCAGTTGTTCAAACTTGCAGTTATACCTGTTAACCTGTTTAAATACAATTCCATTATGGTGCATAAGCTCAAAAATGATGTACCCAAAATAAAAAGGTTACTTTTTTTTTACATGAGTGCAGCAGTTGTGTACTACTGACTTTCAGTGCTGATCAAGTTGTGCGTTGTTCTCCAACAGGATGAGCTGAAGACTGAGATGAGGAGGAAGAGCCTCCTGGTTCTTATCTACCACCACCTGCTGGGGCAAGGGTCAGTGTGAAGTACTCGTGTCTAGTAGTCAAAGAACAGAACGACTATGACATGTTCCTGAGGCCCAGAAGATGTCACACATAGTTAACCTTGCTTATGTTACTTTTTAATCTTTTCATTGTTTGTGCCTGTGTATCCCACCAGCTTTGTAGCAGCAGCCGTGGCCTTGGACCAGGAGACAAATGGAAGTGTGAGGAAGTTCAAGGTTTGTGATAACATTGATCTGGAGATGATGCTGTTGGAGTATGAGAGCTATCACTACGTCAAGTTCCAGAAATATCCTAAACTTATCAGAAAAACAGAACCAGGTAGTGTATGACCACTACTAAAATATGATTCATTTGTTGCTAAATTCAGAATTGTTTACTCATTAAATATCAGTTGCAGCTAAATCATGTTTCCTGCTGTATTTCTCTTTTTTTCTGTCAAGGTGAAGACAGATGTGCAAAAAGTGGTGGAGTAAAGAGGTGAGTCTGTTCATCGCTGACCTTTCTTCTGTGTATGAAATGTGCCATATAAATAAAGCCACCTTACCTTAAACACACACACACAACAAAAACAGCCATATAATGATTGTTTTAAAGTAGCATTAGATTGATTTGGCAGTGATACTAGTGTGCTTGGAAATATGATAGCAATATATTTGGGCCAATTAACCAAAGACAAATGATTTCTCCCATTGATATGTCATCTGTGTGTCTTTGTCCCTCAGGAGTCCCTGTTCAGCTGTGAAGCCTCTTCCCAAAATTAGCCCATCTCAGAGCCCACAGTCTGGAGCCAGGAAGTCAGCCACTAGTGTGCATACCAATGTATAGCATTAAACACAGACCAACTGAGGTTAGTATATTAAAATAAATAGTGACATCTGGATGATTAGAGTATAATTTATTTCCTAGGAGAGTGGCTCCTCTGTTGCTCCAGAGTCATCAGAGTTTGGTCTCAATGTTTCCTCCATCAAAAACGGACCAGCTGGGGAGGCATCCACCAACAGGAAGGTACTGGGGACTGGTATCTTATAAAGATATGTATTTATTAACATTTTAGATTTCATTACTGATGATTCAGAGAAATAAGGAATGGGAGGCAAACTCTGTCATCCAAATTTAAAACTTCTGTAATTTTTACAACATGGATCTCACACCTTTTGTATTGTGTTTTGTTTTAGTAAACATCTGTCACTGTATCTTTCTGCTGGAAAGTGTGACAGTCACTTTTTTTTTTATCTAATCCATTTATACAAATACACTCATTGGCCACTTTATTAGGCACACATGTACACTTTTATGCACTTCAATGCAACACGTCCTTAACATCTGTGTTTATGAAGCTCAAAATGTTTGTTTTTGTGAAATTGTCATAAATGTATAAATTCAGCTATATGTTTATTATTGAGGTCATTGTTAAAGGCCGTATTGTCCTGGACTACATTATATTTAAAGGTACAATATGCACATGAGAGGGTCAGAATATTAGGAACACCTCTGAATAGAATGTAGTCCAGGACAATACCACCTTTAACTATGGCCTCAGTAATAAACATAGAATTGAATTTGCATTTATGACAATTTCACCAAAAACTGAAACATGTTGAGCTTCATTTGCATGTTTTTCCTGTGCTTGCGTGGGTTCTCTCCGGGTACTCCAGCTTCCTCCCACTGTCCAAAGACATGCGGCTTAGGTTGATTGGTGACTCTATATTGCCCGTAGGAGTGAATGTGTGTGTGTTTGTGGTTGTTCGTCTGCGTGTTGGCCCTTTGATGGACCGGCGACCTGTCCAGGGTGTACCCTGCCTTTTGCCCCCTGCCAGCTGGGATTGGCTCCAGCTCCCCCGCGACCCTGTTCGAGACTAAGCAGTATAGAAAATGAGATGTTGAGCGTCATATACACAGATGTTAAGGTGGAAGTGCTGCATTAAACTGCATACAAATGTACAGGTGTACCTAATAAAGTGGCCTGTGTGTATACATTTTGGGTTAGAAGTGAACAGTGGCCAATACCAAATCTCTCAACACAAAGCACACACATTAATGTAATGTACACTTTTTAATTCAAATCTGAAACAATCATTGCTGTCAGTTTCCTTCTTATATCTACTGTATGTTCACCTACATGTTTAAAACAAACAAAAAAATCTTGTGTTGTCTCTCTTATGGCCAGCTGACAGATGGCAAAGGTACAGTCCACGATGCTGTCAAAGGAACTGGCATTGACTCAGACCACATGGTAATTACAATGAAGTTTCTGGGCAACTCTGAAGAAATATAGCAAAAATCCTCAAGATGAGCAGTTAATCTCATCTGTAAAGCATTATATAT